ACTGTCCAAAAAACCCACGTCTGATCTCCAGCTGGCGGGCTGCGTGGCCGTTCACCCCCACTGCTGCATAAAAAAATATAGTCCATATACTACGGTGGTGGTCAGTGTTTTTCCACTTCAACACGGAGCATGAGTTGCTTTGTTATCTCGCTATATTGTCAATACTGTGCCAGGTTGTTTGAGCGCGGGCAAAGCTTCTTGTACGAGTCGCGACATAACGTAAATTAGCGTTTAATGTCCCCACTGTTAACACATTTTTCCGTAGTAATGAGAACAGGTCTCGTACTGTTTCACTCGTATAAGAGTATATTTTTGGTGTCGAGTACTTGTTGTGGCGGCCACAGGCCTTGTCAGTGTGTTTTCCTGCCTCTGGTTTCCTTTTCCCAGTCTGGATGACCTCCCACTTCATTAAAGGATTGGTTTCACCTGCTTGGTGCCCTTAAAAGCTGGGTGAATCCAAGATGGCTTCCTCTCTTTCTCCCTCCTAGAAGGCTGGAGCCTCTCAGGTCTCTCCTGGTTTGGTCTGATTATGCTGAGTTTAGCCTGGGTTTGTAGACCTTATCATTAGTTTTCCTTTGTTGAATGTTTTCAATAAATTACTCATTTACTTTAAAAGCTGTTCCCATGTCGACCTCCCTTCTTTGTGATGCTCTTCAACGAGCTGGGCATAACACAGTCAGATATTAGGCTCAACCCTGCATTAAATCCTGGCAGTTTCACTCCAGCTAGCGCTACATGCTAACGTATTGCCAAAGATGAACGAACAAAATGTCTGTTTTTTCACAGCAGACATTCTGGCATGATGTAGCACGAAAAGCACAAAAGTAATCACTAGCAGCAACAGTGGCAGAGCTCCATTAAGTGTCCGATTACACCATGCCAACCAGTTCGCAGTAGACATTTTGGTTTGTCACAGCAGTAAAAACACAGATGTTATCCATGACATTAAAAATGATTAACGCATCCTTGTATTGTGCATTCTTAGTCACTACCATCACATACTGGGACACTTAACACTCTGAACCCCCAAAACCTGAGTTTCAAAAGTATGCTGTCGCCAAAATGACACCATTTATCCAAAAACAAAAAAGGGTCAGATTTTCCACTTTCCTGCAGACCTTGAATAACATATCAGGAAAAGGGAAAGTTCACCAAATCTAAGCCTGAAATTGTGATATTTCATCAAAATCACTTTTTTTATTTATGCTGTATTCAAAACATGACAAAAATGAAAAGATTGGTTCCAACCAGACTCTGCAAAAACAAAGATTTATGTGCTCCTTGTTACACTTGTGAAGCTACTAGTGACGCAGATATGACCAACAGTCATGTAGCAAAAGTTCAGGGACTTTTCAGCTGTACTGGATTGAAGCGCAGGCAGCAGATCGGGGACAAGAACGAAAACAAAATGTAAGTTGGGTTGAGCAGGCGACCCATAAACAGGGGCTATAGCTCCCCGATGCAGCGGTAGTGGGTTTGACTCCCACGCTTTTGGCTTTTGACTCTCCCCAGTCTTCTCCCCCTTTTCCTGTCTATCTCTACTGCTCTAAATAAAAGCAAAAAGCCCAAAAAATACATTAAAAAAAAAAACAAAAAAAACTGTAAGTTGTAAAACATCTATAGTTTGCAGAGCCCCGAACAGCTGTGGGCAACTGGAAAAATGTTAAACCCATTTATTAGAATTTTTTAAAAATTAAATTAAATTTATTTATTACATTTTTTGTAAAACAACTATTTAAAAAAAATATCCCCTTTTGTTTATCTTTTCTTTTCATATGATGTATGGCATTATTAGTGTTACACTGCACAAAAGACATCCCTGGCTTTTCTCTCCTTCTAGTCATGTCTGTGTTGTTTCAGTAAAGCTGCAGGCCTTGTGCAGTGAGACCACAGCGAGTAAAAGTGTGACAGATGACTGGAGCCGAGCCAGCGTTTACACATTTTGCCTTACCGCTGTTTGTACATGCTATAAGGGAAAATGCCTGTAGGGGGGAAAAGGCTTTATGACAGACTTAAGAAAAGAAGTTGAACCTAAACCGTTTCCTTTCTGTAAACTTAGATGCAACTAAACCCTATGCATTGTTTGTACAGCCTGCAGGGGGGACCACATATAGCTCCTATATAGTCTCCACCCTCATATTCTAAGGAATATTGAGACCTGGAAATCCTCCTGTATCCATCCCATGCTTCTCAAAATTCTTTTCAAAGAGTTGCTTTTGTCTTCATACTACCATCACCCGAGACACATTCACTGCACTCAGACGATCTCCATTTCACTAACTGTGTGACACCAATTGGCTGCACCTGCATCGAACCCGGTAAAAGACCTTAGAAATGGACTGGTTTGGTTTCAGTCTGGTATCCTCAGCAGACAGCTTCCTCTCACTACCTGCTCAGCACTAAACCACAGACAGAAACAGTTGTAGACTAGCTGGTGGAGCACAGAGCAGCTAAAAAGTCAATATTTCCATCAAGAGGTGGTGGAGACCAAAACCACGAGACTGCGGAGTACAAGTTTGCCGTTAAATGCAAATTCCGATTCAGCTTTCTCCACCCGTTCAGCTGTCTGCATGCTACCATTTTCAAAGTGGCAAATTCACTTTGGGAAGCTGCATGCTGAAAAGTCCAAGTTTGTAATGTGCATTAAAGCAGCCCCACTAGTGTTTGTGTGTTTTTAAATGAAATATCCATTTTAATGAAAGTGCTCACCTCCCTGAGTGTGAAAAAAAAAAACCCCTGTCACTATTTTGACTGAACACTGACCGTAGATCCTGTTCTTAGCCCTGCCTATTTGGTAGCGTTGCCTTTAAACTGTATAAATGTCAATAAACTGGTCAAATGTTTTGGGTTTCCTTCCACAAGCTTCTCACAACAGTTTGCTGGAATTTTGGCCCATTCCTCCCGACAGAACTGGTCATCTGGGCTTTCCCAAATAGATTGAAAACATCTTAGTGTATGTAAACTTCAGACTTTGAAGAAAATAATAAAAAAATTCTCCAAAAAAAATCTCTCTCATGTTATTTTGGCATTTAGCAGTTAGAAAACATTCTGGTAATCCTCACTGACCTTAAACAGAAACAGTTTGATTTAATGTCAGACAGTGAGAGAGAAAAAAAAAAGGTTTTCTGTCTTTGTACACAGCGTACGTACACTTGTGGTTTCAGCTGCACTCAATTTATCCCAAATTGAGAAAATCTTGTGTCACAGCAGCCAAATTAAAAAGTAAACACAATTAAGAAGCAAATTAAGCTAAAAACCAAACAAATAGCTCACAAAACAAAATATCTCTTCAGACATATTTGTCATATCAACTCCAAAATTAAATGAGTCAATTCAAATCAATTAATTCTGTTTTTGTTTTTTCTCATTATTCCACCAGGAAAAGTCGATGAGTGTTGACTTAGCCAGACATGAGTGGGTCTATTTTACTCTTTTAAGGCTTTAGTTTAGATTTACTGTCTCTGGTTTATTTTTCCCCTTGCAGGAATGTCTCGAATGTGACATGACTGACTGAGGAGCACTGCCAGTTATAAACATAACCGAGAGCAAACTAAACTTAACACTATGATGTCCTTACAAACAAAGTCTACACGTGGAGATGACAAGCCTGTGCATCCACCAGCAGCTCGACTGAACTCATGCTCTTTTGTGGTCCACCTGCTCCTTACCAGCACGTATCACTAAGTTTTAGTTACCTTATTTCAAAACCACCACATTACAAAATCTGCCTTTTGAGCAATTTCGCTTCCCATTAAGGAAGCTTTTCTCACAAACCAGATCTTAGACGTACATCAGTTTGCAGATAAGCAGAAGCACAACTAATCACAGGCCTCATCCGGAAGCAGACCATCGATTGAATCTACGCCTCCCTGTCACGCAGATCTCTCAACACTCTTCAGAGTCGATCTAAACACATATTTAAAGCACTTTATAACTACTTGTGCGCTGACACTGATCCCTTGAAGGAAGTGGGCCTTAACTTAACATATAGCTGCACAAGACGTTTTTATCTTTAACACTCACAAGTGATGCAAAAGTAATACATGAAGGACGATGTTTATAAGGATGGATGATGCTTAGATAACACTAATCTGAGCCTCTAAGAGACTAAAAAGAAACATACTGAGATATTGATGTGACAAACACATGTGGTATCCAGGAAGTGGAAAATGAGAAAACAGGCAGTGAAGACTAATGTTAAATCTGTACATAATGCAAATATTGTTTATATGGTAAAAGTATATGAACGTTATAATTAATTCAAATATTCAAATATTGTGTTTGAGAACTGCTGTTGTATGTGGTCATGGCCCTGCGCCCTGTCCTTATCAGCCGTCACTCATTAATCATGCCATGCATTCAGAGAAACTGCCCTGTTCTGTTACTTTCATTCTGAATTGCAGCAGGTCTTATGACTTCTCTGCCTGACAAATGGAGTGGGGGAAAAAAATTCAAGAATTACATAGATGTGCAATAATAAAGCTTTTAAAATTTTGCCAACAGCAACTTTTCTTAAAGTAGAGTAGTATTGCAATAGCAGGCTTCATACACAAATACAGGAGCAGGAGGCCACTACACATAGAGAATATAAAGAATACATTTGAATGTACTGCATCTGCTGCATTGTGATATCTGAAGGATATTTTAAGGCCCAGCTGGGATTGGCTCCAGCCCCACCGCGACCCTACTGAGCATTAAGTGGTTTATAGATAATGGATAGATAATAGATGGATATTTTAGGGCTGGAAAAGTACTGAGGGAGTGAGTTGAGTGCGTCATGTGTAAAAAAAATAAAAAAATAAAAAATATATCTATCACATTAAGTACAGAGGAAGGTGTACAATTAAACAAAAGGGAAGAAATATTGTAAGACCCTTTTCTTTCTTTCTTTTTTTTTTAAAAAAAACCTGATTTGTATTCGTTTTAATAAGAATATAAAGACTCTGTTGACTCACTCGAGGTAGTGAAGTGCAGTCAGCTGCTTTCCTCCTGTTGCTGGGCTTCAGATTAATGTTTGACTCCGGCTTTTTTCTGCAAGTGTACTTGGATCTGTCCTTCGAGTCTTTGTCCCCCTCCCTCCACTCTCACAATTTATCTTTTCGCTCTCCCTTCTGGGCGTGACCAGCTGCGTCAGGATAAAAATGTCCCCAAGCGCACGGAAGATGAAAAAACACGGCGCGACAGCTGATTTTTTTTATTTATTTATTGTATTTTATTTTATTTTATTTTTTTGGAGGGGTGTGTGATTTTTTCTTCTTCTTTTCTTCTAGACAGCGCTGACGCTTTTCTATCTTGGTTCCTTTTGCGCTCTTACCACGTTGCTGCACAGCTGTTGCGACCCAAAACGCAAACAGCAATTAAATGCATTTCAAGGTAGGATTCTCTAAAAGCCGCACAAGCCATGTGTGTAGTTTTGCAGGAATCATTTCTAATTCTGCTCCTGAAGTGCAGAATGCAACTTTTAGAAGGAAAACCTGTAAACAGCCAAACAACAGTCTGTTATCTATTAGATGAGGCTGTGTGCATGTATGATATACACATGAATTAAGTTATTTTATTTATTTACTGTCATTTAACCAGGACGTCCCACTGAGATCAGACATTTCTTTTTACAAGGAAGACCTGGCCATAGCAGCCATGTCTTGTGTCGTCCCGGCTTCTGTAGTTACTGAATTATTCAATAACGTGACACCTGGTATGTGTGAAGTGGAGTGGCGTTAGAACCAAATACAACCTTCTCT